TAAATTATCTATCAACTTAACCCCCATCGACTGCTTCATTTGGTCCGTCCACTTACGATTCAACCTTCTAATGGTCGTTACTTATCATTTTTGCCTCAGTCCGGCTTCAAAATTCGATCAAGCTAGCCAACCATGCAGCATAAAGTATGAACATACCCAAACAACACTGTTTTCAGACAAAAGCCAAATCAACAACACATCGCATTCTCTGTTTTAAAAACTAAAAAACGAGAAAGCAATTTTGAAAGTACCAAAACGAAACTAAGCAACACGCAAACACTTTAAAATTTTACAAACAGCTTTATTTTCCGACACCCATTATTTCATTGCTGATGATCGTAGCCCTCCGGATGGGCTGTTCATAGTCTCCACGAAAACATCAGATTACAGGTAACATGCCCTAACCTACACTTGGTAGCGGTCGCACTTACACATTCTAGATAGGCTAGTCACCTGTACAGGATGTTGCTCGTTACCTGTACAGGACGCTGCTCGTCACTTGTATAGACCGCTCACCCTCTGGCGCTGTAGCGCTTCCGCCGCGCTCTTCAGCTGTCGCTAGGACCAGCTATGGTCCGCTCCATTGGCTGCATCCCTTCCCGTACTGGTCTTCCTATTTTACTCCTCACTGAATTGGCCGTTATTTATAGTCCTGTTCGTGGGCTCTTTAGAGCTTTTTCTATTGCTTATTGAGCCGTCACGACCCGTACTGCCCTTCCTATTTTATCTCTTAGTAATGTATAACAGCGTTAATGCAAAATCCCATTAATGTTGAAATTACATTTCGCAACAAAAGCATTGTTGAAAGGCAAAAAGAAACAAGAATTTGATATTCTAAAAAGCACAAAGATTACAGATATCGTATAACGTGCATGAAAGACTCTCATTATCACAGCTGTACTTTTTTGGCGTTAAAACAAATCTTTTGTAGTTGCCATTCCTACCGGAAATGCTGTGCATAGTTCAGTCCGAGTGCAAATGCATAAACCATTGATTCTACGTGCACTTCGGAACAGATTGATTCAATGTATGGCAACAATTTGTCACATTCCACAAGCACAACCTGATAAAAAGCAGAAAGAATGATGATGAACTGCTGCTGCTGCTCGGACTAATTTTTGTTTCATAACAAAACTGATAAACAAAATATGTGCAAACACATTCAGCGGGCATGGCTGACGAAAAAAAAAACTGAAACTGGAATGATGCAACATACTGAGAACTAACAAAATCGATCAGGATATCGAAATTAGCCCTCAACGGGGCGCGATGGCTTGAATCCTTCGTGCAAAACTCGGGATGCGAATAAGTTGCAAAACAAAAGTAGATAAGGGATTCTTAGGACTAGGAAGTCCTTACGAGAAAGAAGCTACTATCGCTACCCCAAATGTTAATATCTTTGACTAATGGCATATTCCGTGTGTAAGTATGTGTGTGTGTGTGTGTGTGTGACACCTAGTCATATACACATATTTATAAATATGTAACAATAAAAGGTAATAAAAAAAGGTGGTGAAGTTCTGGAGAGCCGAAGCTCCCCAGAATAGCGGTAAGAAGAAATCAGCTTCTAAAGTGGGTTGAGATAGCTGTGGCAATCCCGGCAATGGGGAAGAGTGCTTTTATACCCCAGACGTCAGAAATTACTAAGATAGCAAAACTTTGACGAGGGTAGAGTGTTCAAAATTTGAATCAGAGGTCGGGGTGTTGCATCACAGTTACGCAATTGTTCTTTAACCTATTTCTAACAAAAACCCGTAAATCATTATTTGATATATTATGTGACACTATTAGCTGTATCAGTGGCGAGAAGAAACGCGATGAAACAACAGCTGCTCATCATCAAAGTGTCAAAGGATGAAAACATCCCAAAAACATTTGGCTGCTTAAAATTTTACCAAAATTAGGACTAAACAATATGGGTTGCGCTGTTTGCCACTTGCTTCTTGCCGCCCCTCCCCACTTTTTCACCTCCCGTCTTCGTTTCTTCCTTTATTATGCAATAGCGTTATTAGCGGTACAAAAGTAATAGTGCGAAAGCAGTATTAAGAAATGTGCCAACCTCAATAATCTCACCATCATCCAGTTTTTGTTTTGGATTTTGGTTTTCCGGCGCATCGCCATCCACATCAACCATCACAAAATTAACACTTTCGTCGGTAAGCCCAGGGCTTAAACCTTGTTTTCCTTTCGTGCATGATATAACCTGTAATTTGCGTGAAAAAAAAGGAAGTTAAAAAAGAAAAATCAATAAAACAAAGCTAAAAAAAACGCGGAGAGGAGTAACGCTACTATTTTGATGAAATTTCCGCGACGATAAATACAGCCCTATAAAAAATACGAGATATACCTTTTTAGCAGTGTAACCTGTTTCTTCTTTTAATTCACGCAGCCCAGCAGCCTCAATACTTTCGCCATCATCAATTAACCCTGAAAATTTTGTTGTTAAACACTCGAAGTGGTCAGATACACAAACATACGTTTACCCATTTTGATCGGAAACTGAAATAACTCGGAAGTCGCAAAATGAACTAATTTGTGCATTAAAGCTAAAGGGGCTTTGTCGTGAATGGAGTCCCTTTGCAAAAATTGTCCTGGACGAGGAGGGAATCGAACCAACCCCTTTCATGTCCGAACGCAATGTGCTACCTACCACTACACCACCGGTCTTTGTGCTCCACGATCAGCTTGGCAGCACATCTACTGTGTATCCGCCTTTCAAGACAAGATGCGCCTTTCTTTTCTTCTCTTCTTTGTGGCGGCTTCTTTGGCAACTTTCCGTGAGTTTTTCGTGACAGGTTTATTGTCGAAGTTAATAAAATCAAAAGCATCTCATAGCGAGTAAATAGGTCACAGAGGCAGCGAACGGCGAGAGAGGAGAGATTTTGCGAACTGCTCCAATCGAGAGAACTGTTCAACTGGGTAATCTCCTAGGAGACAGAACGAATGTCAAGATCGTCAACGAGATGACAAGTAGGTGACAAAACATTGGTCAAAGCCAGCTACACTGCTGGAAGTTCTGCCTTAGAAATACAGCTGATCAAAGTACCATGATAAGATCACGAGACAATTAATATGGTGCACTTGATGTTAATGGGGCATAGTAATTAGTACTAAACCGTTCGAAAAAATTCGTTTTATGCTGAATTTACCAGCCGGGAATTCAAGGCATGTGCCAGCCATCGGAATTCGATACTGTTTGATAAGTATGAAATATTTTTTGCCGCTCTTGTGAAGTGTTGCAACAACATCAACACCATCTGGTTTTGATCGAGGAGCATAACGACGATGTGCTGATTCCCAAACCTTCAAATAATAAACAGTTTTAGCTACCAAAAGCGGACATATTCTCTTCCTCATCCCATTTTCCTACACATTTAACTTCCTCAGACAAACGAATGTAGTTCGTAAACGAAACTAAAAAATTGTAATTCCTGTTGGACTACTTTAACAATTTAACATCAGATGCAAAAAGTGCAAATGGATGTAACGACAAAGTAGAATAAAATAGAATTCCCCAGATAAAATGATATATTACTTTTTGAAATTTGAAACAAAAATAGCAGTGGATCTATAGGGAGCTGTAGCTGTTTGATATATTTGATGAACTTTTGCGCATTCCACAAAAGTATAATTGAAGCCAACAAAAAAGTGAAAAAAACGAAAAGGGCAATTCGTCGTGCTATGGGAAGCAAAAAGCTGAAGGGGAAAAAGATAATAAATTTTGATTTTGTAGGTACGATATCAAAAAAAAACGATTTTTCTTTTATCTTTGAATTGCTTGAAACTGTGAGTTGTGAAAAGTAAAAATATAAAAAAGGTCAAAATGATAGCTAAATCTTTCTCAATAATATCGGAATTCTACGGAGATTTCGAGTAATCTTGACTAGTGAAATGTGTTACCTGTTCCGGTGTGCTGTCGTCTTTCTGGAATCGAACAGTACGCATTTTCAGCCATTTTCCATCATAAACAAACTTTGGCTCGCCCAAAATTTTGAACGGACACGAAGCAAACATTGCTGGATCCACCTGAAATTAACAAAGGAATCAAGCGCTTGCGCGATGCAGCATTGGTCAAAGCAACTGGAAAAACTGGCCAGATTTTTTTTTTGCTGGAGAAGCTAATTATATTTTATCAAAAACTTGTTAAAGCAAATATTCAAATATAACGCAAAAAAGTGTGCCAGACCTACCAAGCGATGTGTGTCAGCGTGATGATGCCGAAATGCTGATGTGCATATCGATGCAAATGTTCGTCCGATTGCCAATCGTCTACTAAGTGAACCTCTACATCCGGCTGTACAGTACATGCATGATCCGATTTGGAATTATCCTGAAATTTCAAGGTCAAAAGTTTGCTAAAATCTTGGCACATATGTTAGAAAAATGTTCCCGAAAAATACTTTTGCATTCACCAACGACAAAATGGCCACGCGTGAGAGGCGAACGACCACGTGTGACGGACGAACAATTACTTGTGGCAGGCGAACAACCACGTATGACAGGCGAACGACCATGTGTGACGGACGAATGACCACGCGTGACAGGCGAACGACCACGTGAGAAAGGCGAACGACCACGTGAGACAGACGAACGACCATACCAAAGAGGCGAACGACACGTGTGACAGGCGGGCGACCACGTGTGAAAGGCGGGCGATCACGTGTGACAGGCGAACGGCCAAGTGTAACAGATGAATGACCACGTGTGACAGACTAACGACCACGTGTAACAGGCGAACGACCACGTGTGGCAAACGGACGATCACGTGTGACAAACGGGCGACCACGTGTGACAGGCGGACGACCACGTATGACGGGTGAACGACCACGTGTGACAGGGGAACGACCACGTGGAACAGGCGATCGATCACGCGTGACGGGGCGAACGACCACGTGTGACAGACGATCGACCACGTGGGACAAGCGAGCGACCACGTGTGACATACGGGCGGCCATGTGAGACAAGCGAATGACCACGAACCTACAGAGTACTAAAACTCACGAGAAGACGCCTCCATACTATACAAGCAAGCCGAAACAGTGTGCATGAATTTAAACTTTCTGGATTTTGGAGAGTTGCCAGCCAGCATGAATTGGCAGCATCCCAACTTTGTAATTGGGGGTGTGTGGGGTGTTGGGCCTGAGGATTATTGCTAGGCAAGGGGGGGAGGGGTATTTCAGCAGGGGATTATGCATGTACTATACATATTAATATATATATATTATTTTTCTCATAATCCACTCATATAACGTATATTGACAAGAGGCTATGTATGTATGTATGTGTGTGTGTGTGTGTGTGTGTGTGTGTGTGCCTGTGTGTTCGCACTTTTTATCACCCACTTTCAAACTGGAGAACCAGAAAAGCTAAAAGGCTGAAACTTCGGGAGTGTGTGCTCTGCACACCATGTGCGATCCTCCCGTTTTAATATCATCACCTGGGTACGCCTGGGGATTTTTTGCATCTTTTCTCATTTTTATTATCTCTTTTGATAGTTCTTAGATTGGAGGCGCTTAAATTGTCACTAATTTTGTATTTCTCTCGGATTTTTGACTGTCTTTCAGAGATTTTGCAATTTCGAGGTGCGGCGGCGATGTGTTCGTGGCGCGATGAGTCGTTCCTGTCGGCGCTGAGCTGCCCGGTGCTGGTGGTCGGAGCGGGTGGCATCGGTTGCGAGCTTCTCAAAAATTTGGCGCTCACCGGTTTCTCAAATATCGAAATTGTAATTTGTTTCACATTGGTTTTCCCTTCACACACACTATTCTTTATTTGGATACAGCAT